ACTATTATAATTGTTTTTTTCCAACTCAAGAGTTCGATGATAATCCCATCGACCCTAAACAAGAATACAACGAGGTTAGTAATTTATTTCATCAATTGTATAATGAATTTTATGCACAATATGGTAATGCACCCCTTCCCATGCCGCGAACATCTTCTTCATCTAAAGGAAAATCACTTTTAAAATCTGCATTTGGTTCTCTTATGAAAAAAAGTAGAGCAACTCCCGCTACTGAACAAAGCTCAGTTAACGAGCTTTCTTTGTATCTAACATTGAATGTTGATTATGAAGTTGGGGATGATTTTGACGTTCTTAAGTGGTGGAAGGACAATGAAAGAACGTTCCCGGTTTTATCAAAACTGGCTAAGCAAGTGCTAGCAATGCCGATATCAACAGTTGCCGTGGAACAAGAATTTAGTGCGGCCGGCAACGTCCTAACTGATTATAGAACGAGGTTGAGCCCGAGCTCTCTTGAGACGCTAGTTTGCTTCCATGATTGGTTGAAGGCCAAACGAAGAACTCAAGAAATGACCATCGCTCCCACCCGCCACTTTATGGAGGAAACAACCACCGAAGGCGGAGATTCCGATTGATTTTTTATTTCAAATGCATCCTAATTCTCAATTGTACTTCTTATTTGAAATAAATATACTTGAATTATTTTATATTATTGTGTACATCAATTCAATAATTCAATTCAATAAAATTCATTTGTAAACTTGTACTTCATATGTAGCACTTCTCAAATTAATTAATTGGTTACAATTTTACAAACTTATAACTTACAACTTGAAATTATTTTTGTAAAATCTAAAGGCTGTTTTTAAATTAAAATATGTAATATTAATATGTAAATTAATTAATTTGTTACAAACTTACAAGTTACAACTTATACACCTATTTTGTAACATTTGTAAATTATAAATCAAATCACTTTTCTAAGTAAAAATAGTTTTACTTAATTAAAAAATTAAAAACATTTTCCTTACACAATATGTATAATTTTCTAAATCATATCACGTTCCCAATTGATATTTATTCGAAAATGTATTTCATATTGTTATTTTTTCCTCAATTCTCAAATGTACTTCCTATTTCAAATAAATGCACTTGAATTTTGTTTTTAATAACAATTATTATAATTATATAGTATAGAATATAAAAAAAAATTAAAGGACCGGCCCGAACTGGGCCCGGCCTGTGAACCGGGCGGGCAGCCCGGCCCGAACCGGACCCGGGGTTACCCGGGCCGGTTCCGGGCCTCCCAAACCGTGAACCGAGGCCCGGCCGGTTCAAGGCCCGAACCGGGCCCGGCCCGAACCGAGTCCATGCCTAGTCACAGATACAAAAATGGAATCTTTATCAATTTTTTTGCATAAATATGATAGCATATATTGTGTTTGTGTGTGTACAAAACACACACACACTAAGATGTATGAATTAATAAAATTGTCACATTTAATAATACTACATATATGATAACTAGTCAATTAACTTCATTATGTTATAAATATTAGACAATAATAAAATTTAATTATACCTAGCAAACATATGTAGTTATTAACTTATCACCTTTTGAAAAATCCGTGGTTGAAATTAAAAATACATATATCCTTTAGAAAAATCCGTGGTTGAAATTAAAAATACATATATCCTTTAGAAAAAGAAAATTAAAAAGCAATAAAAAGTTCGCTGAATCTAGAGGCCCTACCTAGGTGGTCGATTAGGCGTTCTGGGCGGGAAACTAGGCGTCCTAGATGACCGACTAATTCAGCTAGTTAGGCACCAAACCAATTAGTGGTGCGCCTAAACAAAAACCGAGGATCTCAGCCACCGCCTAGCGCTTAGGCGAGAACTAGCTAGTTGGGTGTCTAGATCGATTTTTAGATCAGCGATAACAATATTTACATACATATATACATATATTTATAGTGTATCACTTTGCCAAAGAAAATTATTTTGTCGTTTTCATTTAATTTTATATTAACTTAAGGTGCTTTTAATTGGATTAAAAATTTCTAGTCTGATTCCTTCTTTTTAAACGTGCTCTAATATGTGGCGTATGTGCATTTTACGATTGTTTATGCTTGATTTGGTCTGGTGCGGTTTGATATGATTTGATCTATATAAGTTTGCTCAAATCTGGTTTGACAGTAAACTTAATCAAATTATAAATGTACTTACTTAATAAAATATAAATATTTTTTCATAACTCAACTAATGTAGTTGTTTCGTCCAATTGATATTTAACAATTTCAGTCGATCGAGTATACTTCACGGTAGCCAATTAAGCTACTCCCTATGCCCCAAATTTATCTCCTGAAGTACAAATGACACGTGGATATGATTAAAATAGTGGGTATTGTAAGGTGGTGTGCATAAGAGAGAAGAATGTGTAAGAAATGTCGTGAAGCACAAACTTTGCCAAAGAGGAAAAGATGAAATAATTTTTGGACGAAGGGAGCTGAGTACTATACACTAGAAATTAAGGGCGCCGGTTGGCGGAGTTCAACCGGCTAGATAGGGGGTGCCACAAAAGGTAAATCTCGGGTTAAAATCATGACAACTGCGATGAGAAGTTACCATGTAAAAATGCATAAGAAAAATTACACTCGAGCCACAACTTCACTTTCTATGTGTCAGTTTGTGATTAAAATCCAAGTTACATTCTCACACTTCTTGGGTTTCTATGTGTCAGTTTGTGATTAAAATCCAAGTTACATTCTCACACTTCTTGGGAACCCCAAGTAATGAGTGTCATTTTTTTTGTAATGGTGAATATTTTTATTTAGCTAAGCTTATTAGGCAATTAGTCGGGCCATGTAGATCTCAAAATTTTAAGGTAAACGGCAAAAGAGTGTCGACGCACCCAATGTTTCCTATTTCTCAATCTCCATAAACTTCACCATCTTCTTCCTAGTTCCTCCCCAAAAACTAGCAGGTAAAATATCTCAAAGGCTTGACCGGGAGTACGTAATAAATTATTGATCAAGAATTGAACGCCAAAGAAAATTTGTTGTAGACATACGGAGTATATGTTTCCGAATAACCTTATCTATATTCTTTCGTACGAGATAGGAACAAAGAGCCCGTTTGGTAGCACCAAAATCGGCTGTTTTGACTGATTCTGCTGAAATTTATGATATTCTGGCTGGAGTGGCTGTTTTGGCTGATTCTGCTGATTTAAGAAAAAAATATTTTAAAAATATATTTTATTAATAAATTAAAGAAAAAATTATATGTAAAAATAGCTAAAATGGTCCTCTACAGTAACTTCAGCCAATACAGCCAGAAAAGTAACTCCAACCTTACTTTTTCGGCTTATTACACAATTCAGCGCGAGAAAGTAAAAGTTACGTGTTTGGTGAAAAAGCTGGCTGATAAGCCTGATAAGCCGAAAACAGAGTTCTCCAAACGGGCTCAAAATATGGACTACATTTTCCCTCATCAGGGGCCGCCCCAGGGGGTGCAGAAAAATGAGTCAAGGGGTCGAAAATCATCTATGTATAAAATGAAAATGGTAGATCATTTTTGAACAATGTTCGAGTTGAATGTTTCATTTGTAGTTTAGAGAAACAGGCATTCGTAAGCAATAAGATAGATTGTCTTTGGTTGTTTCTGAATCATGTCACGTAAGTAATGAATTAATTATACGTTATTTCTAAAATTTGAAAAAATAATCAATATTATGCATCAAATTTTGCTGTTTTTACGTTTAGATAGTGCTGATTTTCCATAAGTCATAACATTTTACTCGTAAAGAATTACGGGGGCCATAATATATCAAATCGAAGATATTTCAGAGTTCTATACTTTCAAACTTTCAATGAGGTCGGCTAACCACCCTGACCCCTGGATCCACCCTTGGCCCTAGGCTCCAAAAATACGTAAAAAATTAATTTAGGCTCGGTCTTAAGACTTTGTATTAAGAGTGAGTAAGCTGAGTTTTGGAGCCGTATTCACTAATTTCATGCGATCCAGGAAATAGAATTGTGAAATTATAAACAATTTTAAATAAAAGCTAGACGGACTCTCCGTCGGGCTTGTGCCTATTACTAAACTGCAATTCCAAAGTTCAAACCTCAATATTCCAAATTTCAATTCCTCATCATAAACTTCCATCAGTAGATAGTAGATACATCAATTCCTTGAGCCTTTTGTCCTTCATGATCTGAATATCAGAATCCAACTTCTAACTATCTCTAGTCCTCTATATCTCTTATTAATACTCTTATGTCCTTATATATTTTGCATTTGTGCTCTTACTTATTTCATGATCAATCAGTTATCATAGCTTTTCACCTTTTTTTAGTTTTTAATGAATTTACATTTTCGTGGATTAGTTATTGATTATATTGTTGTGAATTGTGATGTTGAGCTATTGGTGAAATCGTGAATTCCGAGTATACTTCTTCCGTACCAAATTGAGTTATAATTTGCGAATTTAAAACTAAATCATCCGTGTGGATACTTAAACCAATTGTAATACTTAAAATTTACATATTTAGAAATTACATTAAAAGTTCTATAAAGTCGAAGAATCCAAACTGGAAAATAATAAAAATTTGATACGTTAAATAAGTTGATAAAGTGAAACTGTATTAACCAAGAAAGTTGACTTTCAAATCATTTTGGGACGGATGGAGTATTAATACTATTTTTATAATACTGAAATTGGGAATATGTTTTTACCTTTTTTAGTTAAAATTTGTTGTGTAATTAAATTGTGATTTTGCATGTGATAGTTTTAAATTCTCTAAATTTCGTATTACTTGTTTAATATGGAGAATTATAAAAGTCTTTTCCTTATTATATATTACAAATTTTGAAGTATTATTGTTATGCATTAGATTTGACAAAACGATATTTTTCCATTTCTTTTAAATTAGGTCCATTATGACTTATCTGCCCCTAGACTTTGAAACTATCAGGGCCGACCCTCTTCCTCATATACAACCCAGTACAAAAAAGTACAAAGTAAAATATACACAAGAACACTCTTGAAAGTTGAAACCACACAGCCATTTTATTATAATGATAAAGCAACATTGGTACAATATATACTTAGCTCATAGGGAACAAATATATACTCGTCGTATTATATAAATTGCCACCTCATCGATCGTGACTTTATTTAATTTCCCCTTAATTAATTAGCCTCGCGCCAGCAGGCGAGCCCAATACACACATTGGGACTTATTATTATTATAGGCTAATAATTAACTTAGGCCAGGGTAACTGCATGCGAGCAGTTTTATTCTCTCAAAATAATATTGATTAATTACTTATTACTCATATGCACGAGATTATTAATTCCCAGCTAGGTAATATATATACGAGTAATTAATTAATTAGAGATTTTGAAATCATCAATCTGAACATTCTTAAAGCCAAGCTTTTTGAAATTGCTGAGCTTCCGAGAGGCGTCAAACATCCCCCAATTATAGGCTCTGTATCTGGCCGGGTTTTCGTCACTTAGGAGTCCTTGTAATGGCTTCACCATGGTGTCATGGGCTGGGTTAAAAAAGAAGGGAATGGAAAACCTTTCCTTTTCAGAGTTTACCACCACCCTGTGCTCCACGCTCTCATATTTGTCATTAGCCCACACCTACATCCACATACATAATTGACAAGACCCCACCACTTATTTATGCATGTGCATATTTACAACCAAATAAACACTATTTTACGAGTGTGCAATAAATAAACATTTCCATATTTGTTTTTAATAATTATATTTTCATAATAATAACAACAACAATAATAATGTTGCATATATGGAAACGTGGGCATCACTAAGTAATTAAAGTTTTTGAAACGAAAACATTTTCTTAGATGAGTGTTTGGAGATTCATATATGGATAGTAATTAGGTCCAGTTTGACTTTGCAACTCATGTTATTGTCATATTGCACTTTGCACCCTATTTTGGAAATCATTATTGGTGTGAACATCAGTTCAAAAAATATAAAGGAATGGGGAAAGAGTCAAACAATTTTATACTGAAATGAGGTGCACACATTAATGATTTTGAAAAAAGATGCAAAATTTAATATTGTCTAAAACATGGAGTGTAAAATGAAGTTCTGCCTAGCAATTAAGCAATTTTCTATTCTATAGCCCGCCTGTTTGGTAACTCCTATATTTGTCTTGTAGTAAGTTTTATCACCTGATTTTTTCATAAACACATAACTTTTGATCTCATAAGCTGATTGATTAATAGCCAAAATAAGTAAGGTTGGAGTTCATTTACTAGCTGAATTGGCTAAAATTAACGAAGACGGCTATTTTAGCTATAATCTCATTTTTTTTCTTTATTCGATTAATAAAAGATATTTGAAATGGTGAAATATTTTAAAAAAAAAATATTTCATCATTGATTGTTGCTCTTAATTTATTCTGGCTTCCTCATTTGTTTGATGTGAAGTTGTTGATCTATTATTTGTGCTTAAAAATGAATTTACCTGCATGACAGATCCGAGATTAATGATGTAGGCATCTGGAATAGGTTTGACACGAACCCATTGACCGTCTGATTTCCTCTTGACCTCAAGCCCACCCACCTGGTCCTGATAGAGGATGGTTAGAGCCCCGCTGTCGGCATGGGGGCCCACCCCAAGAGCCAGGTCCGGATAAGGGCACTGTGGGTAGTGGGTCAGCATCACTGTGGAGGTTTGGGTCTTGTAGAAGCCCTCGAACGTGTGAGCCGGCAAGCCCAGGCTCAGAGCAATCAGCCTCATCAGCTTGAACCCTAGCTTTTCCATTTCCTTCGAATATTCTTCACATATTCTCCTGTGAAACCAAGCCCCACAAAACTTGTATAAATACGTTATTAATTAATAAATTCAGCACTTGTACCACCACCGGATCTTATAAAATCAGTGTAATGAACTAGTGGTAGGTTGTTAAAAATAATTCTAATGTACAGTATATATACACGGTGTATGATAACTATATATTATTTCATATATCCACTAAACACTACTTCATGCTGGCTATAATGATTTTCAATTTTGATCTCAACGTACTGTAATTAAGACAGTGTTTATTTAGACTCAAATTTCTAAGAAATGAAATTAAAGATATTAATTGGAACGCAAAGATGATAATATCAGTAGTGATAATAATAACAATATTAATAGTAGTATTTGAATTAATAATAATACTAATATTGTTCTTAAATAATTTCAACATGTTGAATTTTACAATATTCACATGCTCTACTTTTGATTTCATTTAATTTATTAATGTGTTAAGAATTTAATTTTTGAAACAAATTGTTAAATTAAATTTGTCACACGTAAAAGTTCCAAAATATGAATTTTATTCTTTTGCTAATCACGAATTGAATATTAATGGTAAAAAATGTGCTCTGGCAAATGTGAAAATTAAATGGAAGTTTCGCAACTAAAAAATGAAGGAAGTACATTATTAACAAAAATGCATTATTATGATAATAAAACTATTGGATAATAATATGACTAAAGTTAATGTAGAAGTACTTTTATGATCGGTAAGAGCATCTCCAATGGTACAATGTGCACGGTGCACATGTGGCATAAGAGATAACCACATAAATATTAGTAAATAAATTCTTTCTCTCCTTATTTAAATGATTTTATACAGTATTGGTAAGTTTTTCTCCACAATGTCAAGGAGACCGTCTAGATGTTGACATTGTTGTTGACATTGCAGAGAAAAACTTACCAAAATTGAATAAAATCATTCAAATAAGAAGAGAGATAATTTATTTGCTAATATTTATGTGGCTATCAATCATGCCACATGTGCACCGTGCACATTATAGCATTGGAGATGCTCTAAGGCATAAACGTTGAACATAATCATAGTAGCAACTATAAGTGAGTAAGTCGCTTTTTTTCTTCTTTTATTATCATTTAGGTCATATATGGAGTAATACCTATTAGGTATCATTTCACACACATACACACACTATGTAAGCGGTTCAACATAATTGATTGCCTGACTCACTCTCTCATATGAGAGTTCTTGGGTTCGAAAATCCATGGAGACAATTTCAGCCCTGTTTACATCAAGCCCCTGCCACCCGATGTGTTGATCTAAAGATTATAGACCCATGATGACATTTTGATTATAAAATCAAACTTTTTTTGACGTAGCACTTTCAACGTTAATATGTAATTGTTTGTTTAACAAGCAATACAAATAACATAAATATGCATTATACAAATATTTGCACAAGAAGAACTGTTTGTATCTGATTCGCTCTCCGATATACTTCCTCCGTTCTTTTTTAGTTGCAACGGTCAACATTTCACACTTGCCAACGCACATCTTTGACCGTAATTATATCTTAATCTCTATTAGTTAAAAATAATTAAAAATCAAATTTTGACAATTTGTAATGAGATGAATTGAACAATATTTTTTATAAAAAATAATTTTCGTAAAATAATACCGTAAAATGTAGTCAAAGTAGAACACGTGAATAGTGTAAAATTCAACATGTTGCGATTAAAAAGAAACGGAGGATAGTATATTGTGAATCTTAGGTCTACCTTAAATGATCATTCTCCTATATATGGAGTATATAACTAAATACAAAGTATATAAAGATTAATTAATAAGTTGCCTCATTTCAAGAGATTGGTTTGGTCGTAGATCTTAGATCCGATGCACTGGATTTGTTCTTAATTACTTTTAATGGTAAGGGAATTCTTTATTTGATAAGAAATACACACACGTACACACACAAACTCACGCACACACTACTAGTTCTGTCCTAAAAAAGGTTTGTCATATTAACTTTTCTTTGTGAATGACGATAAACTGTGGACAATGATTTTGATATCTATATTCGTAAATAATTTATAAACTTTATACTTTTACGAAAACATTTTTAATAAGGATTATTTAATATATTTTTCATATTCAAAATAATTCCATATACTAAAAATAGCATTGATCAAAGTTGTCTATCATTGAGTCTGTTGACCACGAAAAGTAAATTTGACAAACCCTTTCTATTTTTTTGATAACTAAATAATACTCTATCCCAATTAAAGGTTCTCACTTTCCTTTATTGGACATCACATTTAAAGGTTCTCACTTTCTATTTTAGGATTCAATTAACATTCTTAAATGACAATTTAATCATCAAATACTAAAAAAATACATTTATAAAATCACAATTATCATCAATAACTCATTATATTATATACTAATCAAAATTATTTCTCAAAATTGTACTCCCTCAGTCCCATTTTGTAAGATACTTTTCTTATTCACTTGGTCAACACAAATCAGGATGTTTGCTTTTGGACTGAAATATGCTGATCTGGGACTGAAAACAGTCCAAAAGAAAACATCCTCACTCTAATCTCTTACATTATAAATCAATAGTTTTTATCAAATTTGATTCTGGTTTTTGCGACTTTGTAAAGCTTTTAATGTACTTTTTGAATATGTATTTTTCTTTCCTAAAAATAATTTGAGTGAGCACAAAGATCTGTTTACTTTATTGTCGGTGAAACATCATAAATCGTAAAGTATCTTACAAATCCGGATGAATGAAGTACTCCCTCCGTCCCGTTAGAAGGTTCCCACTTTCCTTTTTTGGACGTCCCGTTAGAAGGTTCCCATTTCCATTTTAGGAAACAATTAACAATATTAAGTGACAAATTAGTCATTAAATATTACAAATAATACATTTACTACATCACAGTTATCAATACTAACACGATATATATATCTATTAAAATTATTTCTCAAAAGATATCCGAAATACTTTATTTAATTATCACCTAAATAAGCATACCGTTTTGCTATGAGAATCTTCTAGCGGGACAAAGAAAGTAATAAATAAGTTACCTCATTTGAGGAGGCCGCTTGGGCCATAGGTTGTAGACCTCAGTGACTTCATGAGTGGACGCGGCGGAGTGAAAATTGGGGCGCGGGGGACGAGGCAGGAGGTACGGACTGTCCACCGCGAACTCAAAAACCTCTTTCCAGTCCCTGACGTTCACGGTGTGCTCCGCGTCGTGGTACCCATGCACGCTCTCCTCGTCCCTCCTCACCTCCCTCTTCTCCTCCGCACTCAGCTCCCCGAAAAACCTCCTCGCCACCTTCATCATCTCTCGCAGCTTCTCTTGGTCAACGCCGTGGTTGACCACCTGGAAGAATCCCCACACCCTGCACGCATTGCCTATCTGCGAAACAACGTCGTTTTCGCCGATGAGGGACAGGTCGATCAAGGGTATGCCCTCCGCCTCTGCCTCCGACAGCTTCGGCCTGTTCTCAACGGGCTGGACGAACCCATTCCGTTCCATGTCTTCCCACATGGATGGTTTCGGCGGTGAGAACAGTTTTCCGGCCGGGAGGTGACCGGGGGCGACGGTGGGGTTTTCCGATATCATTCCCGTTTCCATGGCGACCTATCGATCGCTGGATCGGATGGTATTGAATGCGTACGGCGTGAAGAAAAAAAAAGAGTATATTTAATTGGTACAGATCAGATCGATTTAATGCACCTGTGTTTAGTTTATTGAGCTACGTACTTTACGTGCGTGATATTTGATGATAGCAGAGGAAATTAGCTAGCTAGCTAGCTAAGGCTTGTTTTAAAACCTCAAGCCTTTGGGGGTATTTATAGATCTGAATAGCTCTGTTTAGCGAGTTAACATACTAAATACTATCGTACATGTTCAGAATACGCGGTGTATAGTAGCGGTAAGAGAACATTTCCGAAATAAGAAAATTTCAAAATAGGACTGTCATGTTTTTATTCCCAAAATAAGACTAATTACTGCCATGTTTTGCCAGTACCAGACTTCAAACATGGCAGTATTTTCCAAACTAGGCAGTAATTACTCCTATTTTGGGAATAAAAAACATGACAGTTCTATTTTGGAATTTTCAAACTGTTTTAGTCCTATTTCGGGAATTTTCCCTTTTTGTTGTTGTGGTTATTGTTGTTGTTATCATCGTCATCATTTTTTTCATCATCATATCTCCGTTACAAATAATATCTTTTAGGTTTAAATACGTTTTTAGTCCCTACAAATATGACACGTTTTATTTTAGGTCCCAACAAATTAAAACAATTTTCTTGTTTATCATATCTGCAATATGCACTATTTTGTTTTCTTGCAAAAAAAGTTACTGTCAATTACATAAATATACTAGAAAATTTTAAATTTGCCCTTTTATATTTTTTAGGCTAATATGAGAGTTAAAACTAAATATTCATATTTTAAAAATATATTAGAAAACACATTCTTAAAAATAAAATTAAATATTTTTTGAATAACATGACGAAGAATTAGAGCAAATCTAGTAATTGGTGTTATTTTGAGGTCAAATGGAGGATATTATCATCAGTAATGGACTAAAAAAACCAACATAAATTACAGAGACAAAAAAATAAAAAAAAAGAATACTTTTGCGGGGATTTAAAACAAAATGTACTATATTTGCAGGGAATAAAACATATTTAAACCTAAAACTAATTATTCTCAATTTTAAAATATATAATTAAAAACCTTCTAAAAATGTAATTAAATACTTATTGAATAACATGACAAAGAATTAGAGCAAACCTTTTAGTCGGGGTTCTTTCATTGTCAAACGGAGGTTATATTATCATTAGTCATGGACTAAAAAGAAAACCAACATAAATTTTAGGAACGAAAAAAACAAAGAAAATATTTGCAAGGACCTAAAACAATGTGTGTCTTATATGTAGAGACTAAAACATATTTAACCCTGTCCATTATATATGTAGTATCTCATAGAGAGTATTACTTGTTTCATGTTTCACTTCATTTCCAAAAATGAGCACATATAAATTTTCATAGGGAAAGTTCCTGAAATAGGACTGAAATAGTTTGAAAATTCCAAAATAGGACTGCCATGTTTTTTTTATTATCAAAATATGAGTAATTAGTGCCAAAACACTTTCATGTTTGAAAATATTGCCATGTTTGAAGTCTGGTACTGCCAAAACATGACAATAATTAGTCCTATTTTGGGAATAAAAACATGGCAATCTTATTTTGGAATTTTCAAACATTTTTAGTCCTATTTCGGGTAATATTCTCCAACAAAAACAACAACAACAATAACAATCACAAAAGTAATAGTAGTATTAATAATAAAAATAATAAAAATCACAACAGTAATAGTAATAATAATATTTATAGTAGTAGTAATATTAGTCGAAATACTACATACTTTAGTATATTTATATTTATATTTATATTTATATTTATATTTATATTTATATTTATATTTATATTTATATTTATATTTATATTTATATTTATATTTATATTTATATTTATATTTATATTTATATTTATATTTATATTTATATTTATATTTATATTTATATTTATATTTATATTTATATTTATATTTATATTTATATTTATATTTATATTTATATTTATATTTATATTTATATTTATATTTATATTTATATTTATATTTATATTTATATTTATATTTATATTTATATTTGTATTTATATTTGTATTTATATTTGTATTTATATTTGTATTTATATTTGTATTTATATTAGTATTTATATTTGTATTTATATTTGTATTTATATTTGTATTTATATTTGTATTTCTATTTGTATTTCTATTTGTATTTGTATTTGTATTTATATTTATATTTATATTTATATTTATATTTATATTTATATTTATATTTATATTTATATTTATATTTATATTTATATTTATATTTATATTTATATTTATATTTATATTTATATTTATATTTATATTTATATTTATATTTATATTTATATTTATATTTATATTTATATTTATATTTATATTTATATTTATATTTATATTTATATTTATATTTATATTTATATTTATATTTATATTTATATTTATATTTATATTTATATTTATATTTATATTTATATTTATATTTATATTTATATTTATATTTATATTTATATTTATATTTATATTTATATTTATATTTATATTTATATTTATATTTATATTTATATTTATATTTATACTCCCGTTTCTAAAAGAAACTCACATTTTCCTTTTTGGGATGTTTCAAAAACAAAGTCACACTTCCCTTATTTCCTTATTTGGCAAAGAAATCTACATCCAACAGTGCCAAACAGTGCGAAACCGTGCCAAACAGTGTCCAAACAGTGCCATACAGTGTCTAAACAGTGTTTTCTACAGTAAAATCAATTTATTTTCTTAATAATCGTGAAGTCCAACCGTGACTTTCTTTTGATAACGGAGGGAGTATTTATATTTATATTTATATTTATATTTATATTTATATTTATATTTATATTTATATTTATATTTATATTTATATTTATATTTATATTTATATTTATATTTATATTTATATTTATATTTATATTTATATTTATATTTATATTTATATTTATATTTATATTTATATTTATATTTATATTTATATTTATATTTATATTTATATTTATATTTATATTTATATTTATATTTATATTTATATTTATATTTATATTTATATTTATATTTATATTTATATTTATATTTATATTTATATTTATATTTATATTTATATTTATATTTATATTTATATTTATATTTATATTTATATTTATATTTATATTTATATTTATATTTATATTTATATTTATATTTATATTTATATTTATATTTATATTTATATTTATATTTAGGAAAAAAGTCAAATAAGATCTTTTACTATTGTGAAAAAGTCATCGATCTAAACCCCTATACTATGAAACATCATATAAATCCATTTACTATTGAAAAGCAATAGTCAGTCCATTGATCGGAAAACAACCTCATATAGCAGGTTGATGGCAATTTTTAGCTTTTATTTTTTCTTTTTCCTTACTTTCCTCATCTTTTGGCTTCACCCTCTACCCATCACATTATTTTCTTATATATTTTTATTTTATCTCCTTTTTTTCTTTCTTTCTCGATCTTGGAAATATAAAAAAAATATCATTCAATATTCTTTTATTTTGGAGAATCACATTTTTAGTTTCTTAGTTGTTGCTCATATTGAAAACAAAATTTGATTTATTTAATATTGTAAATATATATTGTCCCCATTAATCTGATTTTTTTTATTGCGGTTCTCACCGTTAGATTTGAATTAACATCAATAGTTTTTTATAATTTTGATATGGTTAAGGTTGTAACTTCACACATAGAAAAACAAATTATACACTTTTGAAAATATTTTCAAATCCTTTCTTATAAAATTTTGTTTCTAAAGTTAGGCCATAAAAATCAACTTTGATAATATAAATCAAATTTATAGACAATAATCAAATTTCTAAAGATCGGGTCAAACCAGATCACACTAGACCAAACTAGACTAGAAAGTTTCAGTCCAAATAAAAACATCCTAATTACATATTGTAAATGTCGGCCACACGCGAAAAACGTAATGCGTGCAGTAAAAAAATGTATTTTTTGTGTCACACATTTAATGTTTGTAAAAGTGTATTATTTTGAATAAGACTTTTTATTTATGGTTTACTTTCACAAATGAAAAATCGTCGGTAGGATGAATTTTGAAATTGTGTACAAAAATATACAAAAATTTATACACTTTTTTACATATTTTGAAAAGCATTAACACCTAAAATTTTATCTCTAAAGAGGCTATAAATAAAAATGTCTGTCATAAAATCTTTAGCTCTCACAATTTTGCCTATGAAATGTCAAGCCACCTTTTCAAAAAGTGCATCAAACAAGCTAATAAGGTTTATTTGAAAGTGCATCGGATAGGGGTTATTGTACATAAGATCGACAATTTGGACAACTGAGATTAATTCTCATTTTACACGTTAAGATGTCTTTTCATTTGAACTCATCACTATATATATAATCTCAGTGATGAATCACCAAAATGAGTGAGGTAAGATATGGGGAATTCTTACCAAGTTTTTTGAAAATAACTCAAAGATCATTACTGAAAGGAGAAAATGAACCTAACCTCAAAATAAAGAGAAAATAACAGTCTTAATAATCAAATAAGGGGTTTCTTCAGCATCTGACGAGCACTTTGTCACGGTGCGTCAAAATAAATTCAATACTAACACTTATACGTAGTATAGCGTAGTAGAGTTCGTATCCACAGGGAAAGGAATAATTCTCTTTTTAATAAAACTAGTAAATAAAGGGGGGTTTTGGGATTGAGTGATTGAATTTAATTTAACACGAAGATGAATGACTTATATGAGATTTAATTCAAGAATAAAAGGGACTTGGCTTTGCTACTTTCCACTTGTTGATATATTTTAGTCGATCCTTGTTATATTTATAACTTATCCCCTCTTGAATACTCAATCGAGGAGTATATCCAATTCATCGAGGGTAGTTATTAATAATGACCGTTCATTAAAAACCCTTACTATTAATCAAATATAGAACAACGTCGTATACCGATTTAATAGTAGCATTTAATCTTTTTAACTCCTTGATGAAATCGATTGAGATTAATAACCTTAACACAACGGTTTCGGTTTAACCAAAAAAATTAATCCCTCTTAAGTTTATTAACCACGACCGTGCATTAATAAACCGAAGTTACTTACTTGTGAAACCATCAATGATTAACCATCAGTTTGTTGGTCGTTTCTAGTAATAATTAATGTCGGAACGTTAACTAATCGTCACTTAGCAACCCTCCAACATTAATATAGAATGAGATTAAGGGAAAAATTAATAATCAAGAGAAGAAGTTAAGAAAATAACTCACAACTTTAATAATCAACAAGTTTGAAGAGGAAAAGTGTGCTATTTATAGGTGATTTTCAACACCTTTGGCCGGGTACCCGACCGGGTAAAGTGCCCACCTGACCGGGTACAGGTCAAAATCAGATAATCTTCCACGTTCTTGTGTTTCAGCATGTTAAAATGTCCCGGGTCAAATCTGACCCGACCGGGTGAATTAGTTAACCCGACCGGGTCCTGCAATTTCCTCTGAGGTTCGGTTTTCAAATCAGACCCGACCTGTTGACTTTTCTCATTTTCCTTGCCAAAAACTCTACCACTATTCTACAACTATAAATGGAAGCTAAAAACAATTACAAACAAAATAAAACAAATGCTTACAAACAAACTAATAACGGTAAACAATTCACACAAAATAAATATAAAAACATACATTTATGCACTACAAACTAGTGCATATCAGCATCCGACCTCATTGCTCTGAAAACGTAATTTTAACCTCCATTGGAAAATAATTAATCTAAATAACTATTTGTTTGAGTGGTGGAGGGAGTAATAATATACGGAGTACTACGTATTATAGAATATTGAAATAACTATATACATCCAAAAAAGTCAGAATGTCAAAATAAATTAATGTTTAATATTTTTATCTTCTCAATATAATATTGTATGAATGGTATTCTTAATAGAAGACGTATATTATTATGTATAGTTAATATAAAATCTTGTGCACGCATTTGTGTGTGAACACATAAGTTATTTTTACATGACATAGGCTGAATATGTATTGATACAACTTTTTGCGATACATGCGCACAATGACGGAGCCAGAGGCGTAGCCAGGACACTGGGCTAGACTGGGCTGGTACAAAGAATATTATTGGAAAAAAAATACACGAAATTTTTTACACTAAAAATATTGACATTTTTCAAATTTGGGGTGGGCCAAGGCCTAGCCTGGGCACCCCCTAGCTCCGCCCCTGGACGGAGCCAGGATCTAGAGTCAGTGGTGCCAATTGAGAAAATAATTATTCTATCAAAATGTGTAAATATTATAAAGAAAAATAACAAAAATTGTCATTTATAAAATTGAAATGCTAATTCAAAATACTCCCTCCGTCCCTAAATAAACTTCCAACTTTCCTTTTTCGTCCGTCCCAATTAAAACTTCCACTTTCCTATTTTGGCCAGAATTTGTGGTTCACAGCAATTCTTACACATTTCTTTCTCCTCTGCACAACTCTCCACCACACAATACCCACTATCTTAAACTCTGTGCCAAACCTATTTGGAAGATATAATAGGGACGGAGGGAGTAGTGAATGTCGCATTTTCATATTTTAAAAACGTTATACATTTTTTTCTATCAAGTGTCGATCAATTGATTCAAACTTTAAAGAAAGAAGACTATAACACCTTGTCTAATATAGTAATATTCCCAATAAAGTATCGCCTATCTCATTTCAGATGTCTTAACTTTTTTTTTTTGGATTATCCCAAAATAGGTGTCATGTTTCTTCTTTTAAAAAAAATATGTGGTCTATAACATTTCATTTTATTATACTCAAACTTGATTAACATTATTAGTTTTGCAATCACTATTATAATTGTGTCAAACCAAAACAAGACACATAAATTGGGATAGAGGTAGCAGTAAACTAGTAACTAGTACGGAGTAATAAGTAAAATGTTACACTTTTCAATTATTTTTAAGTTAGTTTCCCAACTTTTAAATAGGAATATCAATGTTTTATTCCCAAAATATGACATATTCGCTCCTATTTTGGAAGTTTTAATCATGTTATTCTTTTGATAGAACTAAACAAGCCCTATTTGGAGAATAAAACACAACCATTCCTATTTGTTTTACTTTGTGTATGTTTTGATCTTATATTAAATAATTTTTATTTTTTCAGAGGTGTCAATTTTATTTTTTTGAAAAATTATATATATACCTATATACTCCCTCCGTCCCTTATAACTTTGCCAACTTTCCTTTTTTGGATGTCCCAATAACTTTGCCACTTTCCCATTTAAGTAAAGAATTTGTGGTTCCAGTTAATTCTCTCTCCTCTGCACAAACCTCAACCACACAGTTTTCACTTTATTAATTCCCGTGCCGGTCAAACTTGGCAAAGTTATTAGGGACGGAGGGAGTATGAAGAAAAGAAAAAAAGTTGAGTGGTGTCAATTGACACCACAACTCATAGTGTGGCTCCGCCACTGCATGCGCATGGTGTACCTAATTCACTACTACATATTTCTAAAAAAAAGGATGACACCCCATCCCTGAGTGCCCCCCAACACCGACCGGACGGCACGATGCTGGGAGGATGTAAATTGGACTATAATCACAATCTGACAGATAGAGAGTGAGGCTCTGTCCCCGGTGCTTGCAGAAGTCCTATGCATTTTTCAGCATAGTAACCCCTCATCGTAGTTGACGGGATTCGAACCCGAGATCTAACCCTTGTGGCACTCCCTCGCTACCAGCATAGTAACTACTGCATATTTCTATCTTCTTTTTTTCATCTCTGCAGTGCACTGTATATCATTAACTTAGCTTCTTCATTTTTATTTTTTTCTTCAATAGTTTTCTCCTTGTCCATCAAAATACTAAACATTTAGTTAATTTCATTTTTATTTATCTTCAACTTAAATTATACCTCACTCTATTTTTATTTTTTATCAATTCATAACAAAAATTTTATTAATCTAAATAAAGTAATTATATTGCATTTCATATCCATACACTATTTTTATTCATGTAATATTTTTTATATTGATATACTTTTTTTGTAATATATAGTTTATATTCATACACTTTTTTTTATAGTACTCCTATTTTTATTTCTTTTTATATGTTTTAGAGGGTTTTTGAGACATTGAATTTGTTTATTTCGATTCCTGGAGTTACATTTGATGATATATGGAGTTACGTAACTTATATCTTCTTGTGTGCGAGTTATATCTCCTTATGTGCGAGTTACATCTCATAGTGTGCGAGTTATATCTTCTTATGCGCGAGTTACCTTTAAACTTGCCTCAATAAGTTACATTTGGAATACATGTAAGTTACATTTTCCATCAACGCGGGTTACATTTGTCATAACACGAGTCACATCACAAAATAAACCATGCTATTGAAACAAAAAATGATTTTTTATAGTCATGATATTAAAAACAAAACATATTCACTATTTACGTAAAGTAATAGAGCAATTAGACTCCTTTTTTTTCATTTTTTTACATCGAAATCAATGTTATATTTATTATACTCCCTATTAGACAATTTATACTTCAACTTATATCCAATTATATTTCTCATCAGTGTGAGTTACATTTCTTTAAACGCGAGTTACACCACCCAACTGAAAAAGTTATCGTTCACGCGTGTTACTATTCACGTGTGCTTTAGCTATGAGAGTATCATGCTCACCATGAGTTGCTCTAACATTATAACAACTCCAAAATTTTGTGGTGTAGTGTTGTTTTTACGCGAATATGATACATAAAACATCTGAAATTAATAAAATTTTGATTGAAACAGTTGAAATGACTGAATCTAAATAATTGTAAAAGAATTATATTTAAAATATACTACCTCCGTTCCCCTAAGTTCGGGACAAAAGAGAGTGGTGCGGTTTTTAAGGAAAATAGAGTTATGTCGTTGATAATGAATTGGTAAAGTGGGAATAAAGTAAGAATGAATTTGAGCCACACAAACTTTACCAAATTTGGTATGAGACAATCTTAGTGGGATTTCCCGAAATGGAAAAATGTGACGATCTTAGCGGGACAGAGGGAGTAGTATATTAATAAAATATAAATAAAATTGTACTCCGTATGAAAACTTCTAACAATAATCTACTTCAACAATTTCAGCCAATTAAGTGAGAAAAGTAAATACAACCTTAATTAATTGATTTATCATAATTCAATAATGTGAAATAAAAAATTACGACCTCCGTCCCATTTAAAGGTTCCCGTGATAAAATGACACAATTATTTAGACAATAATTAAATATGCTAATTCGAGTATATTTTGAGAAATAAGTTTGATGAGTATATAATATAATGAGTTATTGATGATAAATGTGATTTTATAAATATATTATTTTTAGTATTTGATGATTAAATAGTCATTTAAGTGTTACGTTAATTGTTTCATAAAATAGAAAACGAGAATCTTTAAGTGAGACTTCTAAAAATAGAAAGTGAGAACCTTTAAATGGGACGAATGAAGTATATACTTAAAAAAAACAATTATTTAATTCAGAAGACGGATAATCATACAAGCATTATCATTTCATCATAGCCTAGGAAATGCATGCTAAAAAGGAGATCCCATGGATATTCCTCATGCGTGTATTATGGTACTGGTACACCGTGCACCGCGGGGTCGTAACTCATATGCTATATATATATATTCTCCTCCAATATATCCGAATATTCTCCAATCTTTGGTTGTAAATATAAAATTCAAATAAACTAAGTAATTAATAAAATATATTCAAACTTCATCATAAACCAAAAAATTTAAACACTCATTTGAATCGTTTCCATAATTAATTAGAACAGGTTGGAGAACCCGTTTTCCAAATTAATTAGCATTTTCAAAATATGAATTGGTAACTCTTTTATTTATTTATTAGATATCTTAATCGCTGTGTATGTTTTTAACTTTTATTAGCTTTATAAAAACTACAATTTATAACACTTCATTAATTTTGGATTCATTAAGGATGCTTTTACTTGGATGTCCATGGCGGCGCAGGTACTCGGCGTTTGCTGAATGAGGAGGCACTAAGGAGGAGTCTCGGCGTTAATCTCCTGCGGTCAGTCTTTTTTTGGGCAATTGGTCCAAGTTTTCTGTTTTTCCGGACACTTTTGTTCCGTGTTCTTGGTCCGGCTAGATTGGCCGAGATAGTTTACTGTTATTTTGCTTTGATCGACTGGTCTGGGATTCCCCTGTAGCGGCGATTGTAAAGCTTCTGGTTCATGTTTTGATTCACTTCGGAAGTACTCCATATTCCAAAGGTGAAGAGCCTTTGAGAGTTCAGATTTCTCTCTAGGTTACGACTTTATCGCCGCCGCCTAGTGTAGCTTTTGTTGTCCCGTTTTCGTTTCAGCCATTTCTTTAGGTTGGAACGGAATCGGCGGTGGGTGCTAGTGTTCTCAGAGGGCTTCGAAGACTGCAGCGGCGGGTCAATTCTTTGGCTTGACTGTTTTGCTTCGTCTTTTGGGTCGAGCGAGGGTTTTCGCAGGGAGGCAATTTTGCTAACGGATTTTACACGACGAAGCAGGAAGGCAGATGAAAGTTGTACACGGCTGGGCAGCGGAGAAGAAAACAATTAGCTGCGGTCTTGCTAAAAGAGGGGGACACGGAGGAATGAACAGGCTTCGTGTTTTCCAGATTTTGATCGTCAATGGAGAATCAATTGTTGTGGTACAGATAGTACGGCCCCCTCCAGAACCACCGCCAAGGGTTGATCTCTGGCGGCGGCAGGGGTGTTATTTAGTTTGTTTTGTTTACTTTTGCAACAATTGTTACTTTTGCTTTGGTGTGTGTTTCTTTGTTTTTGTTTCAGTTTGTAAGACGTTGATGTTGGATGTGGGAGATGAGAGGAATTTGGTAACCGTGTTAGGCTTTTTGTTTCCCGGTTATGGATCAGCGAATTATATTGCTACAGCAATTAATTCCGAGTCTGGTTCGAGGGATAGCGGTTATCAGTTTTCTTTTTGTCAGTTGACCCATACTCTAAACTTTTATTGGTTATTTATCTAAGCCGATTTCAGTAAAAAAAACTTTTATTAGCTTAATGACTTTTATTTCATGTTTAATTATGAATTGATATATATGTAATATCATTTTATGTTTGACATGTAGGCTATACTATCTCCATTCTTAAATAAGTGTAACATATTGAATTTTAAACTATTCACATGTTCTACTTTGACTACGTTTTATTTATTGATGTACCAATAATTTTTTAAAAAAACATTGTTAAATTTGTGTCATTGTCAATTTTTACAAACTTGATCAACCCGACGTGATAGCTAGGGACAGTGGCGGATCTAGAAAATTTGGTTATTGGGGGCAAAATCTATAGGACATAAACGTTTATTGAAAGCTCTATTTATATAACTTAAACTTTAAGTCCATATATGATAGGCATAAATCTCCATCTTCTAGATTTTGTACTCCTTAAAAAGTATTTAAAAGTTTCTAGTTGTATGTTTGGCATGCCAATTTTATAAGAAAAAGGTTTTAGCTTTTAGCATTAATTAGTACTAACAACTTGTATACCAAACTAAACTAAGGATGTTTTCTTTTGGACTTAAATTTGCTGGTCTGGTCTGTTTGAGTATGGTCTGGTTTGGTCTGAACAGGTCTGGTCTGGTAAACGTCTGGTCTCTGTGTATTTTATAACTATGGAAGTCAGGTCTGGTCTGGTCTGTTTAAGTCTGGTCTGATCTGGGACTGAAAACAATCCAAAAGAAAACATCCTAAATCAAACTGTCAGTTTTTTTATCAAACAACTACATTACTTTTTCTTTTTTGAATCTTTTCAGTCATTAAAAGTCAATAGTTACTGAAAAGCACATAAAAGTATTTTTTTCAACTAACTGTGCCAAACATACCCTAAATTATTTTTACATAACAGGAACCTATCAATCTTAACTGTTTTATACGCCATAATTTTTAAGTATTTCATTATCAATTGCACCTATTTTGTACCTTATGACTATATTTTGTGAATTTACTTTTATCATTACCAACTATTTTATCCTAAATAATATAAATTATCATTGAATCCATCTACAACAACAACATTTTTATTTTATTATTTTAGTCAAGACTAATAGTTACGGAGTAGTACTTAATAGCACTAAAATCCTTATTTAGAAAGTATATACAATAGTTTTGATATATAACGCATGAATATTAGGTTAATAAAAAAATCCTATTCCAATATTAAGTTTTTAAAATGAAAATGAGAAGAAGAATTTTATTATCTTTCCAAATAAATGTTACTCAGTATATTCCAATGAACTTCACTTATTTTGATTTCGTACCTTATTTTAATTGCCTCAAGATTCATAAAATTTTTATATCTTTTTTATCCATTTTTGTTGATTTAGCACACTTTCGATCATCTATATCATAAAATAATTACTAATGGGGGCAATAACAAAAATTTAATGGGAGCAAATTATTTGAATAAATTTGCATAAACTACTATACTTCTAGTGTATTTCTAAAACCTTATTGGGGGCATGTGCCCCACTCCTATAGGCATACATCCGCCCCTGGCTAGGGATACCATGGATTCTGCCAAGGAATCAAAACGGCGAAGCAGACTGACCTCAATGAGATGAAGTTGATCTTTTACCATCATAACAAAATGAATAGTGTCTGAAGAGGCAGCAGGAACAGGCTTCGGTTTAGGGGGTTTGGCCGGGGGAACGGGAGTAATGCTCTCTTTGAAACTTAGCTTGGAATTGTGGATATTGATACCTAAATTTAGGAGGCCTTTTGTGTCAAGTTTTTTGTGAGTTATGTGTGAGGGCAGATTCTCAAGGGAGATACCCTCTTTGATAAACAGATGTGTTAGAATAGGGGCGTAAGGGATCCAAACTTTAATAGGCCACTTGTCAAGATCATTATTTTAAGCAAGAATAAGTTCATCAATGACTATTCTATATGTATGTAGCATGAGCCATTTGGTCTCTTTCTGGTCTCTTTCCATACATGATTAGATATTCACTTATTAATGACCTGGCCTATATAGCTTAATACTTTATGGAAAGGATCTCTGTTGGCTAAAGTAGGATTGCGTGACTTAATATGTGGTGATTTAAGAATAGACCATAGCATACTTATATTTGTTAAGTATCGCTCTCATGCAATACGTTGGCATATATTTTTGGTAAAATCATCTTTATTTGAAATATGATCCACATATGTATGATTGAGTTTGTTGCACTTAAAAGAATGAATCTCCAAAAGGAAAGTCATTCAAATTATAACAAGGCAAGCATCACTCTTGGTAACTCGGTCATCCAAGGAAAGAAAAGGCTTAACGGATGTACTCCAAGCAATATACTACCTCCGTTCTCTTTTAGTTGCAACGTAGGACTTTTTTCACTATTCACAGATTCTACTTTGACTACATTTTATTTATTAATATATTATGAATTAAATTTTTAAAAAATATTTTTAAATTCCTCTCATAATAAATTTTCAAAATCTGATTTTTTTGATTTTTTACTAATAAGGAATGAAAGATATTAACGGTCAAACTTCTGCGTTGGCAAGCGTGAAAAGTTGACTGTTGCAATTAAAAAAGAACGGAGGAAGTATATACATACATATATACATACATACATACATACATACATACATACATACATACATACATACATACATACATATATTGGTTCAAATGAGAACACTTCTTAACGTGAGAAGTGAGAACAAATCATAGCCTTCCAAAATATGTGTTGATGTGCGGTCAAATAAATACTTGAAGAGGACATTTACGTCTTCTTCTCTCGAGTCATTTATTGACCGATCAATCAGTTATGGGTTCACACGATTAGTAAGGAAAGAATAATAAACTGCAAATCTTATTAATTGTTTAATACGGAGTAGTTTAATTTATTCCCACGTGAATTTACAAATAAAATATAGACCTCAACTAGTGCACTACTCATCTCCATTATTACACATATACTCCATGACACGGACATCATGAAATGAATACACACATGTAACCAAATACTACTAATGTAATCCTACCCTCCTCAAATCAATTTTGATTCCAGTAATAACACATTAACGTTGAAAAAAAAGGAAAAGTATAATACAAGTCGTTTTCTATTATCACAAAAAATCCTCTCAAATGCAATTCCACATTACAATACAGCAACTTAGTTTTAAATTCCGACAAATCAATTCATCTCTAAGCAATAATTTGGTGATGCACAAGTGACCGTTCTTAATGCACAATAAACCTAAAGACAATCAGTTCATCTATTAATAATGCACAAATACTTTACAATAGCACACATGCAAGCAAAACTCAGCAAATTTTATCTCTTCAATTCACTTTACCATCCATCTAAGCCATAAATCTCATCATTCACACTTGAAACTGTTCCAATTGCACAATAAATCTAATGAAAATAAGTTCACATCCTAATGCACAAATAATTTAAAATAGCACACATGCATGCAAGCAGAATTCAGGATGTGTTTGTTTTTATCTGCTAATGCACAATTCGCTTGCAGCCTTCACCGTACCACTATTTCTTCTCTCTGAACTTTTTTATTGGTTTAATTCATGGCGGCTACCTGAACTTGTATATCCCAAACTTAATACTCCGTATGTTCTTTCCATATTGGAAGAATGTCTTTATTTTTGTGAGTTTAATAACCTCCCCGAATAGTAGCTATTTTTAAGGAAGTGGAAATGGAAGATGCCTCCCATAGAGACACGTGTGCATTACTGAATTACAATTTTAACCTTTATTAAAACCTCGCCCCATTTTACGTTTCCACGAGAAATTTTAGTATATCATGACGTCCATATTTGTTTCGTGTGCCAAGTAGTTTATAGCCGCCCATTTAATTAGATGATGGGTTATGATTTGTACTTATTTTTCACAATAAGGGGTGTTCTCATTAGAACCACTCCATATATATATATATATATATATATATATATATATATATACACACACAAATGTTCCTGTCAGGTATACCTGACAGGAACCGCCGTCCGGACTCCTCCTTTTGGGGGCCTTCCCGGTGGTATTTTTTGCTCAAATTTTTTGTGTATGTTCCTCATCAAGTTTAGTTCATCCATACCAAATTTCAGCAAAAAATTCAATCGGGAAGGTCGTCAAATGATTTTTCCAAGTTAACTGGTCCGGAATATGGATTTTCCGGACCAGTTAACTTGCAAAAATCATTTGACGATCTTCCCGATTGAATTTTTTGCTGAAATTTGGTATGGATGAACTAGACTTGATGAGGAACATACACAAAAAATTTGAGCAAACAATACCACCGGGAAGGCCCCCAAAAGGAGGAGGCCGGACGGCGGCTCTATACCTGACCGGAAGATTACTCTCTATATATATATACAAGAATGATCAGGTCCGAACGTTCGGACAGGACCCTCCGTCCAAACATCCTCGTTTGGGGTCCTTCCCGGTGGAATGTTTTGATGAAATTTTTTGAGCATGTTCCTCATCAAGTCTAGTTTGTCCATACCAAATTTCAGCTCAAAATGCAATCAGGAAGACATTCAAATCATTTTTTGAAGTTGACTGCGTTTTTATATGTATATTTTGACGCAGTCAACTTCAAAAAATGATTTGAATGCCTTCCCGATCGAATTTTGAGCTGAAATTTGGTATGGACAAATTAGACTTCATGAGGAACATGCTCAAAAAATTTCATCAAACAATTCCACCGGGAAGTGACCCAAACGTCCATGTTCGGACGGTGCTCGGACGGGGAATGTTCGGACCTGAACATTCCTCTATATATATATATATATATATATATATATATATATATATATATATATATAGAATTTGGATCAAATAAAAAAAAGTCTTAATGTGTAAAATGAGAATAAATCTGAGCCGTCCAAACCGTCGATTTGATGCACAATAACGCGTATCTGATGCACTTTTGAATAGATCTTGTTTGATGCACTTTTCGAAAAGTGCATCAAATAAGGTCTATTCGAAAGTGCATCAGAGAGGGGTGATTGTGCATCAGATCGACGGTTTGGATGGCTCAGATTTATTCTCATTTTACACGTTAAGATGTCTTCTCATTTGAACTCATCCCTATATATATATATATATATATATATATATATATATATATATATATATATATATATATATATATATATATATATGTGCTGAGATCAAGAATAAGAAGGAGTGCTTGATAGAGATAGAATTCGAGAGACACATTCACTGAAGAAATACTAAAGTTGAAGGCACCTGAAACTACTCACATAGAGTTCTAGATATAGTTCTCATTTTCCCTTCTTCTCTTTGTAATGGGGTTTTTGAGGATTGACTAAGTGTAGCATCCTCGGGCTGGTAAGTGTGTGATGAGATCTTTATTGTAAAGCTGAGAGGCTCTCTACTCGCAAGGTAGAGAAGCATAACTCTTCCTAGAGAGGATAGAGTTGGGGTGGCTCAAGGGTAGACTAGAAGAGTTTCTCTTGTAACCATTCAAAGGCCTTTTAGTGATGAAGTTGTTAAAATTCCTCCGAGGGAGGTCGAGGTTTTTTAATCCCTTTTGAGCTAAGAGATTTTTCCTTTTTAAATCCTTGTGCACTTATTTACTTTGTTTCACCCTATACCCTACACTAGAACTTGGCGAATAACTGTCACAGTTCCACACAAACACAATTCACCCTCCTCTTGTGTTATTAACCGTTTCATCAATGTACGAAGTATATATTTTGTATGCATGCATACACAAATATAAAGTGTAGAGTGAAGTGCGTAAATTGTATCTTAAGTATTGATATTGTTGTGTTTTAGTATCCTAACTCTTAAATGAATCAAGGTATCATAACTATACATATCTTTCCACCTAACAATATTATTCATTTTTTTTAGCAAAAATTACTACGTGACGGCTGGAATTCTATGCATAAGTTTACTTTATGTTATTTTTGTCCATGTCATCACTGTAGGGTGGAGTCTACATATGAAATTTTGGTCATCACGTAGGATGATTGGTATGAAAAATTAAAATGCAACTAAATGATTAAAATAAACGGGTTCTCTCTAATTAATGACGAAGGGAACAAGGATTGATTCCGGGGTAACCAGATTTCTGGCAGATCAGGCCTAATTACATGAAATTAATTCAATTGAGCCTAGCTAATCATTACTAAGTTCTTACCGCTCTCGCGGCGTAGAGTACAATAATTTAGGGGACCAGGCTGATCTCTCATGCGACAGGATCCTAAATTATTGCCAAGACGAGCGAGCTTACGGCCCCTTAATCGTTACTAATCTCTTAGAGAACGATTAAGTGTGTGTGAAGGTGTCCTAGAATAAACTAGATCTCTCTTAATTTATTCTACAAGCAATTGTAATTCTAGCGCGCGTTCTAGGTTACAAAAGATATCAGTTAAATTATTCAAACACAAATTAAACGGCATTCATGCAATTAATTCATCAAGAAACTAGCCATACATCATGATCAACCCCTTCATCAATCCCAATCCCTAATTAAACTACTCACAATTTATAATTGAAGAATCAATAGAATTGGGAAGAATAGAATTAATTGTCATTAATTAAAAAGGTGGAACTTACAAAGAATACCAAAAGATTGATGAACAAGGCTGAAAAACCCTCTAAATTTCGTGCTAGGCACTCTCTCTAAGCTCCCCCCTTGAAAACGGGGATTACAGGCTGTTTAAATAGGAAAAACGGAACAAATTCGGGTGAAATTAGGATTCCAGGGGCAACTCACGGGGACAACGCACGGCGTGCGTCCCCCAGTGCGTCCGGAGCATAGCCGCGTAAAAATATGGAACGCACGACGTGCGTCCCCCAACGCACGGCCGTGCGTTGCTGGCAGTATCTTCCTTGCTTTCTCGCCTCA